GGTTTTGGGTGTGTGATGAGATGGTTTATAATGTCATCGTGGATTTGGGGAAGGCTTGTTTCGCTGCCCGCTTGGACAGCTCGAAGGGGAGCTGTGGAAAGGGAGCGGGGCGCAGCCAGCCCTCGGAGTGTTGGGAGGTAACCTCCAACCCTTGGGAGGTTATCGACGTGAGAGCTGAGTGGTTTGGAAAAATCTGCTGTATCTGTCAGGGCTTCGTATGCCTTGGGCTCGGTGATCCGTCTGGCAGATCTCAGGGTGTCCCTGGCTGCGGGGACCTGGGGGGGATGGGGACGTGTGCCAGGGCTGGCCGTGGTGGCTGCTGATGGGCTTGGAGGCTCCTGTCGCACTTCCACGTGAGCAGCCTCGGGCTGCAGATGAAGGAGCTGGATTGATGGCGCAGGATTAGCTCGGCCAGGTTTGCTCTGCTGAGCGAGGCAGTTGCCTGAAAAACATCCTGGGTTTCAGTGACAGGCTCCGTGCTGGGGTGGGGGCCCTGGTGATTAGGGGTGGGGGGGTCGTGCTGGTGGGGGACCTGCTGCTCCAGGGCGTCGGGAGAACCTGGCAGCCCCTTTGAGCCAGCAGGGAAAGGGCAGCCCCAGCCTCTGCCCTGCTCGAGGACCTCCAGGCACAGCACACTACCCCGCCAGCCCCGGGGCCATGTTTCTCTGTGTCCGGCTCACCGGCTTTCCCCTCCGGTCCCTGACAGCTTCCTCCCTTCCCGCAGGCATGAGTGACCAGGCTTGTCCCCAGCGCTGAGCAGCCGGAGCCACCGGGAGCCGGGCCAGGATGCCGATCCCTCCTCCTCCCCCGCCGCCGCCGCCTGGCCCCCCGCCGCCTCCCACCTTCAGTCAGGTAGGGGGGCTTCTCCCTGCCCCGGCTGGTTTAGGGTGGGAAACTGGTCTGTGTCCTCATGGTGCTACTTACCAGGGGCCCCTGTGTTGTCTCTGGACCTCCTCGAGTCCAGTCTGTGAGAGCTTCGGGTGATCCCTGGGCTGTGCCTCAGTTTCCCTTGGAGCAGACTGTCTGTGGAAGGGGCTGCCCATGGATTTTTGTGGATTTTCTTTGTGTTAGCATCTTCTGCTCCATGATGGCTCAAGGGGGAGAACAGGGGGTCTCTGGGTCTTGGTGGGACAGGGGTCTTGGCCTCTCCTTGTAGGGCAGCAGCAGAACCTCCTGGGGCAGCCCCATCGCTCCCTCTGCGGAGAGCCCCTGGAGAAGGCTGTTCACTGGCAGGGAAAGGGGGTGAAGTGGGGAGGTGGTATCTGGCTGTGCCCGCTCTGTGGACTGGGGTGTCTCCAGGTGAGCTCCTGCTGAGCTGCTGCTTGTCTCCAGGCCAACACAGAGCCCCCGAAACTGAGCCGAGAGGAGCAGCGGGGCCGTGGGGCTCTCCTGCAGGACATCTGCAAAGGGACCAAGCTAAAGAAAGTGACACAAATCAATGACCGGAGCGCACCCATCCTAGAGAGTGAGTACCCCCCACCCCGGGAGGCACTCAGCACCACGCTGGGCCCTTCAGGATGGCTTCTGGGCTCTTTCCCTTCTGGTTCCCAGTGGCTCCTCGTTGCTGGTAATACCGGGCTTAACCTCTCTGCCTCTTTCATTTCAGAACCCAAGGGTGGCAGCGGCAGCTACGGCTCTGGCTCAGCTGCCATCCAGCCCAAGGGCGGCCTCTTCCAAGGCGGAGTGCCCAAGCTCAGACCTGTGGGAGCCAAGGACAGCTCAGGTAATGGCTGTCAGACTGGGGGTTCCCTGGGGAGCTCCCCGAGCGGGAGGGGGTTGAGGCGGCTCTCCTGCAGGACATCTGCAAAGGGACCAAGCTAAAGAAAGTGACACAAATCAATGACCGGAGCGCGCCCATCCTAGAGAGTGAGTACCCCCCACCCCGGGAGGCACTCAGCACCACGCTGGGCCCTTCAGGATGGCTTCTGGGCTCTCATCCTAGTGGCTCCTTGTTGCTGGTAATACCAGGCTTAACCTCTCTGCCTCTTTCATTTCAGAACCCAAGGGTGGCAGCGGCAGCTACGGCTCTGGCTCAGCTGCCATCCAGCCCAAGGGCGGCCTCTTCCAAGGCGGAGTGCCCAAGCTCAGACCTGTGGGAGCCAAGGACAGCTCAGGTAATGGCTGTCAGACTGGGGGTTCCCTGGGGAAGGGGGAGGGGGTTGAGGATCTTGCCCTGTTTGCTTTGGGGATTTCAGCTGCTTAGAGGCAAGGACCCCAAATTAACACCCCGCGTGTGGCCGCAGGCGAACCGCGCTCTCTCCGTGCCGCAGTGTCCGATGACACAAACCTCCTTGGAGGGGCCCGAGAGAGTCGCGTGTGCTGCTGAACGTTTCTCTCCGCTGTTTTCTGTGGCAACCTGCCTTCCAGCCAGCCGGAGAGCGAATAGCGGTGGCGAGAGAGGAGCCGTGTGTGGCTGAGCACGCTGCCAGCTCCCTGCCTGTGCCAGACAGCCTTCCCCGCGGTCTGGCCCGGCTCGGCCAAGCGGGCAGCCTGCCCCGTGCTCCGTGCAGGCTCCGGGGATGAAGCACCACATGTTCTCTCCAATTCCCAGCCCATTCCGTGGCTGAACAGTCCCTCTCTCTTTCCTTCCCCACAGACACCTCCACTAAGCAGACCCTGCAAGTCCCCGGTGCCAGAGCAGCCGCCCCCAGGCCCCCGGTACTGGCCAACAACAACCGACCTCAAGATGATGCCGACAACAACCGGGGTTCTCCCCCGGAGCTGCCGCGCACCCAGAGGCCCTCCCTGCCGGATCTCTCCCGGCCCAACACCGCCGGCAGCACCGGCATGAAGCACAGCTCGTCCGCCCCGCCGCCCCCTCCGCCGGGACGCCGTGCCGCCGCGCCGCCCGCTCCCCCGCCGGCACACGGCGCCAAGGTCTCTTCCTACAACCGGGAGAAGCCCCTGCCACCCACCCCGGGACAGCGACTGCCCGTGAGCAGGGACGGACCCCCAGCCCCACCACCCATCAAGCCCCCTCCTTCCCCAGTCAGTATCCGAACGGGGTCGGGGGCTCAGGGCCAGTCTCTCGCCCCCCCGCCACCCCCTTATCGGCAACCCCCCGGTGTCCCCAACGGCCCTTCCAGCCCCATCAACGAATCCGCCCCGGAGCTGCCACAGAGACACAACTCCTTGCACAGGAAGACGCCGGGCCCTTTGCGGGGTCTTGCGCCCCCACCTCCCGCTTCAGCCTCCCCCTCTCTCCAGAGCAGTCGCCCCCCTCCGCCGGCCAGAGACCCCCCCAGCCGGGGAGCAGGTAAGAACCGTGCGCTCTGCCCGGGCCTGGCTCCTTTGGGCCGTGGTGGGTTGGGCTGTGGCATGGGCCTGGCTCCTTCGTGCCGTGGTGGGTCGGGCTGTGGCATCCATGGGGTGTTTGGTGTCTGGCAGGAGATGCTGGGGGAAGAGTTGGCACTGGGGCACAGCGAGGTGGAAGCGGGTGCAGGGGTTGAGCTGTGGACAGTAACTTCACTGCCACATTTAATACATGTCCCTGGTCCTGTCATCTCTTTATCCAGCTCCTTTTACGCCTTTTGGTGGTGGTGGGTTGTGGCTGGGCAGCTCCTGCCCCTGAGGATGGCGTGTCCTGGGGTGGGAGGTGACAACATAGTGGAGCCAGAGCTGTGTATGCTGTGGCTTGCTCCCTGGAGCTTCCCAAATGTCACCAGGACAGTGACAAAAAGCTGGAGCAGAGCAGGGAGAAGCCTTTCCCTTGGTGGTGCAGCCAGACCCTCGCTCGGGAATTGTCCTGCCCCTTTTTGGGCTGGTTTTGGCGCTGGGTGTGGGTCAGAGCACGGCTGGCGATGAAGGCTGTGTCTCTGCTGGTGCAGGGTTTTGGTGTCGGGCACCGTTTGAAGGTGTGGCTCAGTGAAATCAGCTTGTCATTGCCCCTGTGGACACGGATCCGGGTGCGAGCGTGTCCCAGTTGCCGGGAGCGGCGATGGCTTTGCCCCGGTGTCCCCCCCCCGGCGTGCTCCTGGGCTCTGCGTCCAGACCGCAGCTCCCGCCTGGGCCCCTGCCAAGCCGCTCTGTCCTTCCGGCCCTGCCAGAAATCCCTCCTTTCAGTTATGGCTGGGGATCTGCTCTCTTAGTCTGTGTGTAATTAGCCTAATGAGGAGCACGAACTGCTGCTGTGCGTCCGTGGGAGGCTGGGCAGGAGCGAGAGGTGGGTCGGAGGGGCCGTGGGTCCTGTCACCACCGCGGTGGCGGTGCAGACGTGGTTGGCAGGCAGCATCTTGCTTCCAAATGGAGCTGTTGCCCCCAAACCCTCGCCTCTGCGGGCTCGTAGCTGTTCCTTGGGTCCCTCCTTGTGCAGAGGAGGGTGAACTGGGTCCGATTGTGAACTGGGGAGCGTGTAAGGGATGGAGCAGCCCCACTGGGGGTGGGCGGTGAGCTGGGGGGGAGCCGGTCCCTTTTGCTGCAGCTGAGGAGGAGGAATGCAGATGTCGGGAATGAGCAGGAAATCTCTGCTGGGTGTGCGTAGGAGCATCCCTGGGCCGGCCCTGCTGGCTGCTGGCTCGGGCTGGCTCAGCAGCCGGCCTGGAAAGGCTACCTCGGAGGATGTCCTTGGCCCCGCTGCCGGAGGGAGGGTTTGCCCTGGGGATGCCGTGCCTTGGCAGGCGGCGGTGGGCCGTGCCGGGGCTGAGCCAGCTCTCCTTGCAGCCCCACCGCCCCCTCCGCCGATGCTGCGAAACGGGGGGCGGGATGCCCCCCCACCTCCGCCCCCCTACAGACTGCACGGCTCCACCGAGCCCCCCAGCCGAGGGAAGCCACCGCCACCCCCCACGAGGACACCGGCCGGGCCACCACCGCCACCTCCCCCGGTGCGCAACGGGCACCGGGACTCCATCTCCACCGTCAGAGCATTCCTGGGTGAGTGGGGGTCCCAGATGTGGGTCTGCCCCTCTCCTGGGTGGGTTGTGGGGGGAACTGGAGCCCTTCAGCTTTAGGGGTGCTCGTCCAGAGCCACCTCCCTGACCTGCCTGTTCCCCCCTTCTCCGCAGATGACTTTGAATCCAAATACTCCTTTCATCCCGTCGAAGACTTCCCAGCCCCAGAAGAATATAAATACTTCCAGAGAATCTACCCCAGCAAAACAAACAGAGGTAAGAGGGGGGAGGAGAAGGTGTCCTGCTGTCCCCCAGCTCTCCAGGGTGGCAGGAGGTGACAGCACATGGCCACCCTCTGTCCTGTTTGTCCCACCTCAGGGTGGCCCATGCAGGGGCTGGTGTCAGCTGCCCTGGGCCCCTGATCCACCTCCTCCTCCTCACCAGCAGCATTGCCCCGGGGCCTGCACAGCCTCCCTGGGGGTGCTGAGCCCCGAAGGCAGCCTCCTGCGCTCGGGGGGGGCCCCCAGGATTTGGGCTGTGCTGTTCCCCCCCCCTCCACCTGCCCCTTTTTTTTCCTGCTCGGAGAAACGCCGCAGGGCGTTTTCCTGCTGCGCTGAGCGCCTTTAGTGCTGGAGCTACAAAGGGACCCCAACAGCCTCCCCGTGGCTGAAACTGGGGTTGGGTAGAGGCTTGGGGGGGGGGTGTAAAGACCCCCCCGTGTGTGTGTGTCCCAGGATGGGGACCTCGGAGCGGTGGCAGTGGCAGGGGGGGGAGCTACAAAGGGACCCCAACAGCCTCCCCGTGGCTGAAACTGGGGTTGGGTAGAGGCTTGGGGGGGGGGTGTAAAGACCCCCCCGTGTGTGTGTGTCCCAGGATGGGGGCCTCAGAGCGGTGGCAGTGGCAGGGGGGGCAGCGCAGGGTGCCCTTGCTGCGCGTCAGCCCTGCGGATCCCGCAGGAGACTCCGGGGAGAAGGGGATGCTCGTTTATTTTTAGAGCGATGAATGTTTAATGTGGATTTGAAAAAGCCCTGAGCTTTCCGTGCTGCTGCGGCGGCGGCTGGAGCCGGGCGCAAATCCCAGGCTCCGGATCTCTGCGGGGAGGACGAGGGGGGAGGACAGAGAGGAGAA